ATCCATCCATCATATCTTATTATCTTCATCCATCCATCCATCCATCCATCCATCCATCCATCCATCCATCCATCCATCCATCCATCCATCCATCCATCCATCCATCCATCCATCCATCCATCCATCCATCCATTTGTTAATCCATTCACTTGTTTCTCCATCTACGTTTACACCTTTTGTTTGTCCATTATTCCATTTATCTATCCATCCATCCATCCATCCATCCCTCCATCCATCCATCCCTCCATCCATCCTTCTATATATTTGCTCATCTATCCATCCATTCATTCATCCACTCAGATTTTTGTAAAAAACATCTATACATATTCTATTCATTCATTCATTCATTCATTCATTCATCCATCCATCCATCCATCCATCCCTCCATCCATTCTTTTTTAATCCATTCACTTGTTTCTCCATCTACGTTTACACATTTTGTTTGTCCATTCTTCCATTTATCTATCCATCCCTCCATCCATCCTTCTATATATTTGTTCATCTATCCAATTATTCATTCATCCACTTAGATTTTTGTAAAAAACATCTATACATATTCTATTCATTCATTCATTCATTCATTCATTCATTCATTCATTCATTCATTCATCCATCCATCCATCCATCCAATACTTTTGTCCTTACATCTATAATTCTCTTTATTCATATATTGACGTCCATGCGCATCTGTTCCATATATATCTCGCTCTTCTCTCTCAGGGCAGTCAGATTCTCAGTTCACTCTCAGTAAACGAATACATGGCCTGTTTGCAGATGATTGAGAAGAACATTCTGGCAACAGACCTTGCCATTTTTTTTGAGTAAGCTTATTTTTCTTTCCAAATCAAGCTGTAAACATGGATGTACAAAGAAAATATTAATGTGCTGAGTGTTTGTGTTTTTACCTATAGGAAGAGAACTAAATTCTTCAAACTTGCTGAGAATAACAGCTGTCTGTGGAAGGATGAAGGACACAGAGAACTCCTAAGGTACAAACATTTTAAATAACAATAACGCACAATATTCAAACATTTACTCATACAAACCACTATAAATCTACATATGTTGCTTATGACACTTACACATAGTAATTTTTTGCCTGTTTGCGCCGATCTGCAGTCATTTTATCTACAATAAGAAAAAAACAGCATGAAAACAGGAAACCCCAGCCACATTTGCTTGCTTATGACCACTTCCTGCTTCTATATTAACTGATGTTCTTGTTGTAAATAGGTCAATGCTAATGACAGCGAGTGACATATGTGCAATAACCAAACCATGGCCTGTTCAGAAGCGGGTGAGCATCTCCCACACACACATTCACGTGCGTGCAGATGCACTACAACCACGCATGCATGCAAACACACACACACACACACACATACATGCACATACACAAATGACTCGTTCTTTATCTCAACCTCAACAGATCGCTGAGCTTGTAGCAACTGAATTTTATGCGCAAGGAGACAGAGAGAAGCGTGAACTCAACATTCAACCCATTGTAAGTCAACCATCCTATTTCATCATTCTCTTTATACAGCAAGACAAGTAGCTTCAGATAAGTGTTGCAATCAGTTTGAATAATACGTTGAATCTCTTTCTCACAGGATGTGATGGACCGTGAAAATGCGTCTCGCTTACCTCAGATGCAGGTTGATTATATTGACGGGATTTGCTCACCGCTCTATGAGGTGAAGGCCTGCCCGCACACATCCTGTTACAAATGTGTGTCAGTGTGTGTGTCTAGTGAGACATTTCTGCTGCATTGCTGTGCCTCTGGGTGTTTCAGAAGAAGCAGAAGGTCTGTAGTGTGTTTACAGTTTCTTTGTGTCTGTTTTTTCAGGCCTTGGCTTTCATTTGTGAGTCCTGCTCTCCTCTGAAAGAAGGTTGTAGCAAGAACAGAAAACACTGGCAAGAAATGGTGGACGATAGAAAGGAGGACAACATTAAAGAACAAGAAAATTAAAAATATAAGCAAGTTAAAACTGAAATCCATCAAGAAAGGAAGCGGGACTCTAAGTTGTGTCTGATATTCAGATTTTAGTAATTATTTCTCATTTGCAAAGATGAAAAATGGTGCAACTGTATAACACATAGTCTTGAAGTATTAGGAAACTATCATAATCACTGGTGTCATGCTCATCTATTCTTGATCTTTACGTTTTTTAACATTACACAAAGTTGACCAGCTTTGTCATACTCGTGGATCGATGAATAAAAATAAATGAATAAATCATCATTTATTATTTTTAATATTGTGTTGAAATGTTTCAGAAAATATATTGATAATCTTTATGCTTTAAAATAGGATCACTTTTAATTCAATTGTTTTGAAAAGCTGATGTTGTTGTTGAAGGGATTTCCAATAAAAATATATATATTTTAATAAAAAAAACATTGCAATGATCTCTCTGTTGAGTTTTTATAAAACAAGTTAATAGTGTTGTATTTATTGACTTTCATATGTTGTTCAAATACTTCCTGTAATATAGTGAAGTGCAATGGAGTTGGTGCCAGATAACGGGGGAGTGCCTGAAGGTGCAACAGAATGGTGTTTTCACTTGATGTGGTCAAAGCCTTCATGTGATCTGTGAAAACATGTGCAGTCTAGTATAGAAACAAGTTTGCCACAATCTTCACAAGCAGCTCAGTGCACTGAAGAGGGCAATGCTCTGAGTGAGACTAACAGAAGAACAAGCTGAGCAAATGCAGATCCCTTCACTATTAGCTGGGCAGAGTTCTGCACTATTTTTTTATTTGGGATCATTTTGCATGACTAATTCTAAAGACATAAATTTGATAAAAACTTGAAAATATATTTAAGAAGAATCGCAGTGCTGCCCATAAATGTTAACTTTTTAATTTAACCCTTGTGTATTGTACAAATTGATCATCCTTACGTTATCTTCAGGCTTTTGCACCATTGACTTCCTTTATAACAACCTTTTTGATTGCAAAGCCATGATACTGACAGCACACAAATGCACTTTATTTCATATAAAAGCCAGAAACTAACATTTTTGCAGTGTAACTAATTATAAACAGTATAAAAATGACAAATTTGACCTTTTCCCTGACAGGAAAAACCACACTAAAAAATCATGGTTGCCTTAATTATTTAAAGCTAAATCAAATTAACCATATGAGTCCATTGAACTTATATTATGTTAAACTGACTTAAAACAGCTCGCATAACTTATAAAATTAGATTAGAACATGATTAACTTAGTTTAATAAGTTACATTGACTTACAAACATATGCTGTCAGGACCAATTCATTCATTCATTCATTATCTTTTCGGCTTAGTCTGTTTATTAATCTGGGGTCGCCACAGCGAAATGAACCGCCAACTTATTCAGCACGTTTCATGCAGCGGATGCCCTTCTAGCTGCAACCCATCTCTGGGAAACATCCATACACACTCATTCACACTCATACACTACTGACAATTTAGCCTGTACCCAACTCACCCACGCGAACGCAGGGAGAACATGCAAACTCCACACAGAAACCCCAACTGACCCAGCCGAGGCTCGAACCAGTGACCTTCTTGCTGTGAGGCGACAGCACTACCTACTGCACCAGTGCGTCGCCTGTCAGGACTAATTGAGCATATTTGTTTACAGTGCAGCAACAATCAAGAATACATAAAAATACTGTGTCATTATAATGAAAGTCAATTGGGCAAAAACAGCCACGAACATAATGAAAGTGTATCAAATTCGCCTCAAGTGTATTGTCGAGATTTTGAAAAATTTCAAAACATTTTCCCTGACCACGTGTGAAAATAAGGTTTGTCACCAAAAATCATTCCATTTGCTGAAACACTGAGAGATGTGGCCAAAGTAAGACTCAAAATGACCCAAGAGTGGATGAACATAGCACACAAGTGTTAAATCTTTGGCATTATCCTTTACAACTGTCTGGATTTACCCATTTGTCAGCAAGGAACAATTAGCATTAAAATTATAATAAAGTTTTGTTTGATCAAGTGATAAAGTGAAGTCAGAAATCTAATCAATTTTAACACATCTGGGTAGCACTTTAGATTAAGTAACAATTCACATCATTTACCACTGGCTTATCACCTGACTATTATTAAGATATTAACCGTTTATTAGCACTTATAAAAGTATGATCCTATTTTACACCCCTAATCACAGCCAATACCTAAACCCAACTACTACCTTATTAACTATTAATATGCAGCGAATTTGTAGTTTATTAAGCTAAAAGTCTTAATGGTTTACTGGTATGTGTATTGGATATTAGGTGACATTTTATTTTGATGGTTCATTTGAGTATTGTTAGACTGTCTGCTTAATATCTGTTGATACTGCTCCTTCGACTGACATTTAACTGACTATAAGAAACTTTACAAGTGCATGTCAACTTACACTAACCCTAACCTCAACCCCAACCTAACAGTCTACTTATAGTCTAATGAGAATTAGTTGGCATGTAGATGCAATGTAACTTAAATCCAACAAATAAACCATCAAAATAAAGTGACCGGACATTAAAATAAAGTATGAACCATATCTGGTGGAATGATAATAGAGCATTATTTGATTCAATTTTTGACGTTTTTTTTAAAGTTACTTTACTTGCATCTAATATGTTTTCTGTTTATGAATTTTAATGATGTACTTTTTTTGTACATTTAATTTGACGTGAACACCAAAATGGGAAACCTTATGAAGAGAAAGAAAACACCTTATGAACTGTTTTCCCCCTGTAAGGACCCAAGATCACATTCTCTGCTTGCAACATTTAAAAGGTTTTTGTTAAGTGATCTTCATTTCATTTTCAATTTTATAAACAACCAGTAGGTTTTTTCAGCCAAAAAACTGGACCCCTTATCAGCATAACAAGCTAAAGAATCATGAATCAAGTTATTTTGGAAGTTGTTGAAGAAGCGAAGGTCCTGCTTTTTTGTTTTCCAAGTAAATACGACACAGGATAAGTAAAAAATGGAAAAAAACCGTGTGCAAAATTTTTGTACAAAATCTTTTTATTAATCAAAATAAATAAATACATAAATATAAATGCAGGATTTATGTGAACAACACTCATTAAATACACACATATACATTATAACATTATAAAATTTTATATATATATTTTTTTCTATATATTTATAAAAATGTATCCATTGGTACAAAATGAAATGTCTGACGTATGAACATCATCAAACTTGACTTCACAGGTGATCCGGGCATTCATGGTTTTCTGCTGCAAAAAAAAATCATTTTTTTAGAAGGTTTGCATGATAACTTTTACAAAACTGGATCACTTTTATACGAAGTGTTTAAAAATTAACCCAAAATTTATTTATGCTTACTTGACAATGATCCTATCAATGATCTTCTTAACCCATGGAGCAGAGGGGTCCAGACAGATCTCCTGTCCAGTTGTCATCAAGGTGGCACTGTGGAAAAACATTAGAAGAAAATCAGTAAGAAACCTAAATTTGCATCCATCTAGATCATAATGGATTCATTAAATCCTTGTATTACTGCCGTATTAGTTTGAAAACTCACATGATCTCTAAATCTTTACAGTGTGGGCTTGGAGGGAAGAGCTCCACACTCTTTATGTGTTTTCCAATGCGTCGGCTTTCTGTTTCAATGCAGCGACAGCGTGGATCTACAGCCAGACCTCTCAAGCTCATTCCTGAAAGCAAAAAAATCACAGGGATTAGTTCATATCATTCTACCACATATATGCATAACTATCTATGGTTACTGATAGTTATAGCAGTATATGGTTTTGCATGTTCACTTACCTTCAATGATGGTCAGAAATGCCAGGAAAACAATAACACACACTGAAATGATTTTGCTGGTCATTTTGCCTAAGTGAGTCTAATAATATCAAGACGAAAGAAATTAAAAGCAAATCTAGAGCTTGGATTGTAGATTCCTGAGGAGCTCAGTTCAGCTGGTGAATTCTGTCAACATGTTGAAGCCGTAGCGCTTATATACTGTAGCTGTATCCTGGATATGAGTCAGAGGGAGTTGCGCAATATCCCTCTTTGGGAAAGTTTTTCCTGATGTCACAAGTGAATCTCAGATCACCCTCAGTCATGTGACTTGATGTGACAGCAAGATTAATTAGTTTCAGGAATTTTGGAAGCCATCCACTCTGACATAGTGCATTACTTCGATATGGAGTTTTTCAGCAAAACACAATCACATTGATATCACACTTAATAAAACAAAAAATAAAAGCAGTGATAATCATGTATGGAAAATTTTTATTAACATAATAATGACAATTTATATAGATAGAAAATATTGAGACCAATTCAAAATTGACAGGTCCATCAGATTTACAGTTTATAGTTATGATTAAAACCTTTTTTTGTTTTATTTTGTAAAGTATACTGAGGAAATATTATGTGCTGTCATCATGGCAAATATAAAATAAATCTGTTATTAGAGATGAGTTATAAAAACTATTATATTTAGAAATGTGTTAAAAACTCTTCTCTCCACTAAACAGAAATTGGGAAAAAAATAAAAAGGAGGAATAATAATTCTGGGGGGCTAATAATTCCGATTTCAACTGTATGTATGTATGTATGTATGTATGTAGGTCTTTTTTAGGTAATATAAAGCATATTGGTCAAAAAAGTCAATCAAAGTCAATTGCATTTTTATTACTTTGACTGTGAAGTAATACCAAATATTTATTACAGGTTCTAAGTTTTTAAAGTGTCCAAAAGAAATGTAGGATAAATATTAGCTGCCAGATGGCTTTTAATTATTCACACGTAATTTAGACTAAAAAGATTTTAGATTAAATCTGCCTAAATGCAATCTGTACTTCTTTAAATTATCAGGGTATATGCCGAAGCATGCTAATAGGACTTTTAATTTACCAGTAACTCGTTTCCGGTGAATTGTATGCTAATGCAAAATCGGCACGTTTAAGGTCTGTTTTCTTTAAAAATCATCGATCTCCACTGGATGAGTGATATCCGATATAAAGTGGGTCTCAGATTGTACAAGAAGCACTGCATTAAATTGCATTTTCCAAAATTAAAATATGAGCATTTATTTTACCCCAGTATATTCAATGGAGGTTCTGCACTAGACTGCTGATTCTGACGAGAGCGTCCAAACAAATGGCTTTTTGTATCATTTTACACTTGAGCAACTAAATGAATGCCAAAATCTGTTTAACTGATTGTATTTGAATTACATTTAAACATCGATGTTGTAAAAGGAACCGTAAAAAAATGAAAAAAAATCACAATAACAGGTCACCGGACGTTTTTCACAATGGGAAACACAATAGCTCGGCATATACCCCAATAACATATTTAATATGCTAATAGGTTTAATGAAACTGTTTTTGTTTGGTCTTATAAAAGACTGGCAAATAAGGATTCCATTCAAATATTAAATAAAAATATTGATTTAGGCCATAAAATGACAATTGGTCAACAAGGCAAATCATAACAACAAAAATTTTTTTGCAAAAAAAAAAAGATAAAATAATGGCATAAATTATTATTAATTTTTTTTTTTTTTTTTTTTTTTTGTAATTTTGAAGCAATGTTATCAGACTTAAACGACTCAAAAACATTTTATTCAACCGGTGTGACTGAACGAACCCGGACTTTCCAAAGGAAGTTGCCGTAGGGGGCGAGCGCTTCAGCTGATTTTAGTCTAATACTACTGTATGTTACTAAACAAAATTGTGATTTTGTGACTGTTGATTTTTGGGAAAAGTAATATTTTCCTGATAAGCTATTTTTTATACATACAAAGATGAACTACAGAAACTGAAATCCAATAATCACCACTTTCAGTTCCTCCCTCAACATCAACACTGTGGTGAGACGAACTCCTCCAAACTCGTCTTCAAGGTGATCTCCTCACAGGCTACAACACGAGGGTCCGTGTATCATCCGTTCATTTGATTATTCCTTTTATTACGGAAAACGAAACATCAGAAAAACGATGAATATTTCGTTTTTCTGTTTATTCCGTAGGCAGAAAAAACGGAAACTCATCTGTTATTCTGCTTATTAACTTAAAACGAAATATTAAAACAAACACAAAACCAAAACGAAATAATGAGTCGAAAAATGGTCCGTGTACGGTCCGTGTACATTTTGTTCATTTGTTTTCCATTTTCAAACGGAATAAAGGAAATGGAGAAAACGGCCGTTTTTCCGTTTTTCTTTTGCTCACGAGAAAACGAAAAAACGAGATTTTGGCTGGATTTTCGTTTTTTGATTTAGGGTAGGAAAACGGATAAACGACTTTAAAATTCATTTTACACATGTAGGCGGTGCTGAAACGCCCACTTTCCTCTAATTGGTTAACCAAATCTGCGCTCGTGACGTCACCCTCAAAATAAAAGCCTTACACGCAGGCTTTTAATTATTATTATTTAATTATATATTAACTAAGTTTACATATTCTATCATTTGAACCACACACAGTTAGCAGGCTTACATTCATTGCGTATGTATGAATTAAATAAAAACGTAAAGCAGTATTCTTAGACATTTGTCATTAAAATAAGGTCATAGTTCACTGCCAAGCTTCTTGCTGCTGTGCACCTGATGCAGAGCAAAGATAGTCATTTCCGAGGAGCACCTGGTTTGCATGATTGTTTCAGAGCAAGGGCTTTATAATGATAATAATAATAATTATTATTATTATTATTATTATTATTATTATTATTATCAGTTACTAGTGTTTTTATTGTTTGGTGTGTTTTTTTTTCTTTTTAATAGTTGTTAGCAGAACCAGAATAAGAACACTTTGGGCCCTGCTATATAAAAAGGGTACCATTTGTTTTCATTTATTTCTTCCTATTTTAATTATGTATTGCAATTATTTATTTGATAATTAATACTATTTTATTGCAACGCCAAAGTAGGCATGTCTTATTATTTTTTATTATTATTTTTTATAATTATTATTTTTTATTATTAAATTTGCTGTTATTGTAGGCTAGATGGCAGGCTTTAAATATTTTAAATAACATTTACTCATAACCTTACTAATTCGAGAGCTGAACCTAAAAAAGTTTAAGTGCAGTAAGCCTGTACAATAAAGGGAGCCGCAATGCATATTTCTAGCGCATTCTTTCACTCAACAATTATTGCTGGAATAATGAAATAAATTTCAAATTAACTAATTAAACACATTATAGTTGATAAAAAAAATTGTGTCTAGTAGTTCCGACAAACAGATGAGCTCGCTACATGTGCGTTGCGCTAATAATTTGACATTTGCTCTTCTTGAGAAAGTGCTACAGCGGGCCCTGCTATTTCACATATAAGGTTAGTGATACGTATTTTAAATTAGTATTGCACATTATTCATTCATTTTCTTGTCGGCTTAGTCCCTTTATTAATCTGGGGTCGCCACAGCGGAATGAACCGCCAACTTATTTAGCAAGTTTTTATGCAGCGGATGCCCTTCCAGCCACAACCCATCTCTGGGAAACATCCACACATACACACACACTTATACAGTACGGACAATTTAGCCTACCCAATTCACCTGTACCGCATGTCTTTGGACTGTGGGGAAAACCGGAGCACGCGGAGAAAACCCACGCGAACGCACTACACTACTGAATTAGACACACAATCTCAAAAAAAAAACTTGATGCTTATTTACATTATCTAAAGTCATTTCTTACGAGGTAGGATCTGTTGTTGTATTATATATTTTCGTTTTAATATGCAAATAATTTTCTTTAATTTGTAATAGGCCTATTGTCCCTCATTGCATAAAATAACCAGCCTTTGTATTCAATATGTTTGTAAATTGTCCATCCAGTTTGACGCAAGCTAAACAACATTTTGGCCTGGTTTGCTTATTAAATGAGTGATTTTCACGGAGAAACAAATCATCCATCCACACAGTTTTGTATAGGACCTGTGTGAACAAAAATATACACTTCATCATAGCCTATAGGAAAATGTATCTGTTTAGAACCAATTTTGTTTTGTATAATTAAAAATATTAAAAATACAATAAAAAAAAAAGGAATAACATTTGAAGTGTAATGCTTCAAAGATTCAATACGCTGCATGCAGAGCCAAAACAAAAACTGGTTTGTTTGTTTAATAAAATAATAATATGAAATTAAAGTGAAATAGTTCCATAACCTGTATTATAACTGTAGTCACCAGATGACAAATCATCCGTTGCGCCGGTCAGTTTCACCTTTAATCAAGAATGTGCCAGAACCAAATGAGAATATTTACAGATTACCTCGGAATGAGACCTCGGTCTGTGAAGGATGCAGAACACAGAAACTCGTTGAGAATGGAGATGCATGTTAGATGTTTTATATCCCTTTAGATATTGTAAATAAACAACAAGTTTTTATAGAGATTGTGTCATGTCTTTTCTTTGACGCACGCGATGAACAGCCCCGAAAAGGCGCCTTTATTTAGCCTGTAGCCTAAATAATAGTTTAGATTTTATAACATATAATGTTCCATTACTTTAAATGTATAATGTTTTTTTAACATTTATGGATTATATAAAATATATAGTTTATATAAATGCGCTCTGATCATTCAAGGATCATAATGCGTTGCATATTCTTCTTATTCTTCATTAGGCTTGATCCGTAAATTGTGTATTTTATAAACTGATCGTTTATAAGGACTAAGCTATTAATAACTGTAATTCCTCGAATGGAAAAGTCTTGATTAAAGAAAAAGAGAACTTAATTCGACATATTCATATAGTGCGCTTATTTCTGTGCGCATCACGCGCTTTACCGAATTACCTTTTTTTTTTTTTTTTTTCATGCAATAGTAAATACATCTGGCAGCACCGAAAAGAGCAAATGCCAAGTTATTAGCGCAGCGCACAGACAGCTCGTCTAGTCTGAACCAGGGGTTTTCAAACTATTCATTGCACACCGATCCCATTGCATTTTATTTAGGATAAACCACTTATTTAAAATTAATTAATTAAAAGGTG